GTGTTTTCATGCCATGGGTTTCTCACTGGGTCCCATCCATCTTGTAGAAGAGAGTTCTGATTCCAGCCATGGCAAAGATTCTTGACAACTCAGGTTCTCTGTGGGCTTTGAATGTTATGCTCACAACATGTTCAGTTGGACCCTGGGAAGCAAGTGAAGATCTGAAAGACAGTTGCCTACATATGGCAGCTTTCCTAACCAAGTATATTAAAATGTAATTTTTATGTCTGGTTTACGGGACTTCAAAGTCTCAACTCACATAGGAAGTCTGTCATGGTCTTATCTCAGAGTCTTGAAATCAAGTCTTTATCAGAAACATAAATAATTTGACACAGTTCCTGACCTTGGGGCAGGAAAAGACCAGGAGGATGAGGCAGCGTGAAGGTTAGTTTGTCTCTCATCCTTTGAGCTGTGATTCACACATTACTTTTGAGGTCACTGTCAGGACATTTTGGAGGACCATGTGGTCACTGCCACAAGGGCTGGCAAATAGAGGGTCTCATTGTGTTCTAGTGCTGTGTAAACTTCAACCTTTGGAGCCACAATTCAGCAAAATAAACAAAACAGTAAAATCCTTGTCTGATTTTTTTCCCCCCTGTCTGCAGTCCCAAGTGCAGAGAACTGAGTCAAACACACTCACATATTATTGATACACATTCCCAGCAGGCTTTCATTTATGTTTAGCCCTGTGTTTTGTGGTAAAAAAATCCTTCTTGTGCAGTTGTTTTCATTTTGAGCTTTTCACAGCATGTAATCAGTGTCTCACTGAGAGCAGTGCAAGGTTAATTTTTTTTTTGACCACAGGACTCAAAAGTGAGGCAATTTTGAGTGTTTGAATACAAAACTGCAGTGCTGTTTTACTCAATGTGTTTACATTCAAGGTAGTTATGATAAAGAAATGAAGCTTAAGTAAATAAAGGTAATCTATAAAAATATTTTCAACGTTAGAGCTAATGAGCAATGTTTAGATTTCAAAAAATTCTCTGAACCTTATTTAATCTCTGCAATAAAATATTGATACCAATGATAATAATTAGTGTAGTGTATTTCTTGAAGCATCTACTGTAGCATAGTAAGCCAGAAAATGAAATACAAACCTCATGTTTACATATAGAGTCTTATGGAGGAATTTGGCTAGTGGGGTTATAGGTCAGGAGTTTATGTTCCTGCTAATGTCTCTCAACCTCCCACATAGAAGTATACAAATACAGCTATTAAATGAGATTTGAATTTGAGGTTCTTTGTGAGGCTTCTCTAAAATATGACAATATTTTTAGGGTTGAATATCTCCTATTCCAGGAGATATTTGGCTCCTCCTTGGGCTTACAGTGACCTGTGACCGAGGGGTCTGCAGCAAAAATGCTGTGCAAGACACAGGTAATGTGGTGTGAACAGCAGATTTTTTTCAAGTTTTACTTCGTGTGTTTGTGAACTGTTTTATGTCATGAGCTTCTGTTCACTCAAAACTGAAATTGTTTGAACCTGAATGCTGCCCAGTGGCTATAAGATTATGATCAACTGATTGGAGGTTTTTTTGTTTCCTTCATTTTTCTTTTTTTAAATTTGTTTCTGTATGTAAAAATTTGTATTTCTGTGACATGCTTACTTTTTTCAGTTCTAAATGTGTACAGCTTGTCAAATAATGAACAGAGTGTTTTCAGAAAATGGTGTATCTTCAATGTACTGCTACAGTATAGACCTGTGAAAATTAGCTAATGCCGTTGATCCTCAAGAGTCTTTGGTTAAAGTCCTGGTTGAGTTACTTCTGTTTATTTATCTCGTATTAAATTAGGCATGAGTTCCTCTTTCATCCCTAACTTGACATAGGAAAAGTAATTGTTTAATAATGTTTTAGAGCCTTGAGAAATCAAGAGCATCTTAGCCAGAGGTTGAGAACTGGGGACTACCTCCAGAATTCCCAGTCTAATTACTTTCTTCTTGTTGAACTGAAATGAATTTATCTTTAGAAAATGTGAAATGTCAAGCCACGAGTTCCTATATTAAACATATTTTTCAATTAAATTAACTGGAAATATGTGCATAGAACTAAGTTTTCCTAATTGTATGGTTAAGAAATTAATTTCCATAGAATTAAAGTAAAAATATAATTATAATTTCTCTTTTGACTCAGCAGTTGACTAAAGAATAATAACCTTTTTGGAGGTATTTTTAACTTAGCCTTTTAAGCATAATGACTATTCTCTGATTTCAACATGTGCTTAGTTTTGAAGACCCTATATGATAGCTAGATTTAAAAAGTAATACATGTACTATTTTTATTTATTGCCATTTTTTCCAGTACTTCTCAAGCAAGGGATTGGAGGAAACAACATTATGCTTTTCAGGTATATGTCATACCTATTTTTGTCTTGTACTCATTGAAGGGAAGGTATGATGGCTGAGACAGTATTTCAGATGTTGTTTTCTTTGGGGAAAGAGTAGGTGTGCTTCCTTCAACAGGAATAAAGAGGCAATAGTGCATTAAAGAGGAGGAAAAATGCTATGTTTTATTGATGACTTAGAAGAAGATCATAGTATTACTTCACGTATTTTGTTAACAGCAGAGCTCCTGATTGATTTTTAAGAACCTGTTGTTTTAGGTTCAATTACTTGATTCTGAGCTGATTTAGGGAGGTGAGGGCCATGTTAGTCCTTCTGTGAGACCTTTTGTGTACCTAACTGGAAGGACGTTCCATGTGGGTAAGGATGCTGTTCTGAACTGCCCAAATAAAGAGGTTGAAAGTTTTTGTTAAAAAATGGTACTAAAGATGGAAGCATGGAGATGATCTGTGAGTGTGTAACTGCTTAGGTGAAGAATATCAAAAAGAGCAATGAGATATGATCTAAGTAAAAACCAAACTACCCAAATACCTATAAATTGTGGTAATTACACTGAACAGGCTTTTATGGAATTGATTTTGGGCTCCAGCTGTCATGGAAGTTGTTTAAGATTTCAAATTAAATTGTTCTCCTATATGAAGTTAGGAAGCATTAGCTGTGTCTCACTCATGCAAATTAAACATTTCCATTTGTAGATTAGTTTTCCATCTGGGTTGTGCCAGGGAGTTGAGGAGGGTTTCAGTGGAATCAAGGCCTTACAGAAGGGACAGAGTCACAGTGCTTGCCTTTTACTGTCTACCGTGCAGGATTACATCCAGTGTTGTGATCTTAAAGGGGGTTATCATGTTGGAGGCCACAGATCCTGAAACTTTTCTCAGAGTCTGGGAAACTGCCCATAAAGACCCCCAGCTCTTTGGAGTTGATGATCATCTTGAGTTGGAGGAAAGATTGCTGCATTCAGCATTAATTACTTTGGTAATGATACAGTGGCCTTGCCAACATCAAGTCTGCCAGAGAGCTGGAAATAGGGGCACAAATCTGAGAGAATGTCCTCTATTGTGTTTGCATTCTCAGCCTCATTGTACTCATCTCTCACTCCATATAGAGTTCATCTGCTTGTGAGAGGTCAGGTTGTCCTGCACATGCATAGAAGGATTGCTTGTGGGATTAAGTATCACTTCTGGACTGGCTGCTGTGGTGTGACTGTTTTCTGGAGTGATCCAGCACTTTCCAAGGAATCAATAATAAACTACCATCCGCCCTGGAAACTTGTGCTGTGTCTTGTCTTTCTACCTGGCCAGTTTATCTTCATTCATGGTCTGTGGAAGACACTGGTTGAAGGCAACATTGGTCTTAGAGCAGCTGGTGTAACAGTGCTTGTTATTTTTTTTCTGTTCAGTTTTGCACTTGGAAAACAAGAAAATATTGTTTGGATTAAAGAAAAAAAAAAGACAGCTATGTAAAATGTGCTCAGCACTCTGTATCCATCTTTGGTTTAATCATCTAAGAACAAATCAGGTTTTCTGTTGGGAAGTAGTTTTATATGTATTTGTGTTACTTGCCCTTGTGCAGTAGTACTGCCAATTATATTTATTAGCCCTAAATATTAAACAGCTGGAAGGATTCCATTATATATAAATAAGACATTTGAGACCTGGAAGGATGCCATTCCTAATACAGCAGCTGGTGCTTTTTGCAGTTACATCCAGCACAACACTACTGAATTTCACTGTACATTGATTGTTGTGTTAATGACAATAGGAGAACATGGGGTGGTTTGGGATTTCTGTAGGAAATGTGTAAAAATACCTTGTTTTGAAAGCCAAACTAGCAAGGAAATGCTATATTATCCACCTGTTTTGTGCATTTTGATGTAAATATTTTTTTATCTGTGTTTTGCTGCCAAATACAAAGCAATGAACTGCAGAGGCTTTTCAAATGTGAAATTTTAAGTGTTCCTGTGCCACAGATGTTTTTCACTTTCTCTGTTGCAGTGGTGTTTTCCCGTTTAAGTAATGGTTTCATGCCTCAAAATTCCTGCTTGCTGATGCTTCTGAAAGCATTTGCTAATGGTTTGGGGGTTTTTTATGAAGGCATGACAGACTCTTTGTTAGAGTCCGAGTAATAACTAAAACAATAACAAAAATATTGCCCCACTATTAATTCGTTCCTAATCTATGTATTAGAAAATGGAGGCAGAAATGTGGACAAGCGATATCTTCATATTTCCTAACCAGCAAATAGTTTGGGGAAGTGGATTCTTTCCATTCTTGAATGACTATGCCATGATCATTTCTTTGGAAAGGTTTACCATCAGTACTTGTGTGGTTACATCCAATATTAGTGCTTTAGGTGAAAAAGGTGATAGTGATGGAGGACCTGATTATTTTTATCTGTGTTATTATTAACTATGAATAAATTTTAAAAAATAAAAGCCTATTGTTATGAGCCGTATACCTGAAAGTATTATGTGTAACACTGTGTGAAATAATTTCTAATTATAATTACTTAAGAACACATTTTTTTCGCCAGGTTGCCACATCCACAGTGTGGGGTGAGTTCTGCCTTGGATAAATTTCTCCTTGCTGAACTACCCATTGTACCAAACAGCCACTCATTTCCATCTCTGAAACCAGCTACACTTACAGGCTGAATCTTACCTAGTTTGTACAGTGCTCGTGGAGAAAGGTGCTTTTATGTGAGTGATTGTTCAGCACAGATTTCCACTGTGGGGACTGTTGTGTTGAGAACTTCCCAGAAAATCTACTTAACCTGTGAGAGAAATGAGATTGAAACCTGTTTCTCCAGGAGACATGCAGCCTAGAAAAAAAACCCTATAAATGCTTTACTTGTCCAGGCTCTGAATGGGTGTTTGAATGCTGGATTCAGATGTCTTAGAAAGTCACATGTTTTCCTCATTGTGGTGACCTTTTTACCTCACTGTGATTAAGAGGATTTTGCTTGCAGAAGGGTGAGAATCAGCTGTCCTTACAAGTCTGATGATGAAGTGCTCATCTGTCTGGCAGCTAGAGGTGGGGGGGAAAAGACGGCTTTACTTATCTTTCTGCAGTTTGGTTTAATTATTAGCCTAGTATTCCCATGATAAGGTATGTACTCTTGCTTTCACAATATTGTGTGTATTTATTTGTGCTTAGCATCTGTAAGACAGTTGCACTTGTATTTGTTAACATCATTTATTGCAATGTTTATTTTATTTTACTTCCCAGCTCTTTAAAAACTAAGAGACATTAGTGCATCCAATGCTTCTGGTGGTTTTCTTTTGAGACAGAGGGTCAAGATTTATGTTAAATTATGAATATAGTTTTTATGCCTTGGTGAAATGAGGTTTGTTTACTTGGAAAGAAACTCAGATCACTGTGGTAATATGTATTGTGCTAGAGGTAGCACGTGGGACATGGTTCCTCTCCAATTGCCTGTCAGGTCATGTACCAGAAAACACATGTTCTTGTGAGGAGGATAAGGTTTTCTTTAAAAAAGGGTAGTTTTCCTCTCAAGGAGAAAAAAGAGTTTTCCTTTGGGGGAGAAAAAAAATAAAAGAAAAAATTATTTTTTTTCCCTTGAGTTTGAATTTCTATTAGATCTGATTCTTTTGGATAATTTGGGATAAATTTCAAGCTAGTTGTGTGGTAAGATGCCAGATCTCAGTTTTGTTGGGGAAGTTTAGTATCTGGATCCTCTTAATGAGTTTCTTATCTCACCTGAGCTCTCAACAGATATTAATATTTGGTCTTGTCATTCTGAAATGTTTTGCTAAGTTATGAAGAAACCCCAACTTTTAAGTTAAAGCTGTGAACAAAATCTCCTGAATACGATGATGTGCTGTCAGGCATGCTTTGTCTGCTCCCACAAATGGAAAGACTTCAGTGGGGAACTGAACAGAGAGGGAGAACATGGTGATAAAAACAGGTGAATCTTAGACTGAATATTGTTGTGTGTAATTTTATAATAATATATAAACTTCTTTGAACCTTATGTTCTTTCTAGCATGCTTATTTTCTGTCACAGTAGAGCTTACTCATTTAACAGTCCTGACTGGGTAATGTAAAAACATAGGCTGGTAAAACAGCTTTAGGGGAAACTGTCCCAAAATCTGTCTTAAGAGGGTTTATGCAATGGTAATGATAATTTCAGTGCCTGTATTACTTAATCAAAAAACTCTTGCAATGCAACTTCTTCTTCTTTCATTTTCAACTTAGAAAAAAAAGCTAAAAATAAAAACTGGTCTAGAGCCAGTGCCAGGAGGTAATTTCATTCATTTTTTTGAATGCCAGATGTGGAAAAAAACCCCACATGGTACTTTTTAAGTTTCTTAAGCTCCCAAAGCAGATAATTTCGTGTCCTCTGAGCTCAGCTGGTTGGTAATAATGGGTCTTGAATCAACATCTTTTGTGATGTTATGAAGAAAGTGTTTTCATATTGATGAGCTGGCCTGGAATGCATTCTTCTAGGATATATGGTCATTACAGGGTTTTTGATAATAGCAAGATTTAAGAGCTCTGGCATCCTGCTACTATTTTGTTAAGCTTTTATATAGTATGTTGGAAGGTTCCATTTTTCATTTAGACTTGAATTATTTGATTGCTAATTTCAAGCTGTCCTAAAATGTGTGTTAATTTTTGGTGTTGATTTGATTTCCGCACTTCTCACCAGAATTTTAGCTGTTGTCTACATAAAACTCTCCTTTTATACACTTTTACTTTCAAATAACTGGAAAAGTTCTTTCTCTCTGTATATTGGTTTGAAGTTCAGTAGGATATATTAGAAGTATGTTCAACGTATGAAAAATCTTGATTCACTTACTGATCTGAATTTAGACATATTTAATATTACAATAAAAAATTCACAGAAGATGTAAGTGCTAAAACAATGGAGGCATAAAAAAAGTTAATTTTGTCTGAAATCCTTCAACCTGTTTCCCAAATGTGTTTGAACTATTGGACAGCATGCAACAGAGAAAGAAAGTTTTAAACTTAATATAAATGTTGAATTATGATATATATAATTCGCTATTACACTGGAAGATTTTAGGTCAAGTCCTCTTATGCAAAGTCATTTAAGCAAGACCCTAAACCAAATAATACAAATGTTATTTATATAAGTGGTGAATATTCTCATGCCTGAGGCTTTCAATCTTAATCTGCTATGTTTCTATGGTATAAAATGTTTTATACTTGTGTTATATTTTCAGGTAATTAATGTCATGAGCATGAACTTGTCAAAAAATGACTTGTAGATGTTTTGGGTTCTTTTATAAAGATACAAATGCCTGTGATGGTTTGTCTTTTCTGTTGTGGTTTCCCTGTGTTCAATACTATTTCTTGATTTTTCTAGTCCTTTCCTTAAGTCTTACTTAGCACAAGGTCTATCTCTTATTTCCAATGGAATGAACTTTTCACCAGGAATATCCACCTTCTGCTCTTACTGAGGACTTTTACTGAAGCTGTGACTTTTTTCCTTCTGTTAAGAAAAAATTGTTAATTTCCTATAAAATGAGTCACTGAGGAAAACACTAATTCAAAATGTGTTAGCATAATATAGAGTAATAGCTCAAATGCCTGCTCATTAGTCACCTCAGTATTTACAGGAATTGAACATATATTATGCAGCTTTGGAATATTTCAGCTTTTTCTAGGAGCTTCATGAAACCCTCATTGGCCTAACTTTAAGCAACAGAATAATAGAACATTTTGGGGGTTTTGGGGAAATATAGTATATTTTTATTTTTTCTATTAAAATCTTAATAGAAATTTATCATGCCTACACTAGTCTTAGCAGTTTTAAAAACTGTACTTGGCTTGTATGTGAAGCATACATACATACATTTTTGGCATAATCTCCAGAGAAAATGGGAAATAAACAGATATATATGCACTTAAATGTGTGTATATGGAAGGGAAAGGAAGATCTTGCTTAATAGTTTTTGAAATCAGAGGTGAATTTTAACAATTTCACAGAGGAGCAGAGGCTTCCAAAGGCTTTTATCCCTACAAGATTTATGAAAAAGTGATAGGAAGAGAGGAAGAGACACAGAAATGGTATTAATGGTCACAATGAGGAAGAGACTTTTTTGCGCTCACCTTTTATTAGACATCTGAGACTATAAGACAGAGATTGGTGGGAAACCAGCATTAACTTTGTTAATTCTGTTGCTTATGGCATGACTTGTTTGTTTACCTCTTTTTAATGTGATTGCCTGGCAACCAAGGAAGAGATAAAAAAAAAGAGGAAAATATTATGAGCTAGTTGGTATTCTGTCAGTGAACTGTTGAAAAGTTGCATGCATTGAGTATCTGAAATGTGAGATTCCAATCATCATCATCTTTTTGATTCGGAAGGGAATTGCTTGACTAAATAGCAGAAAATGGGTATGCATGGGAATGCAGACTTTCCTGTCATTGCTCAGCAAGGCATAATAATAGTGATTTTTTTTTTCTCCTACTTGAAAACTGTGCTGAATATTAAGAGTCAGTAGATGAGAGGGTTAGTTTTCAGTATTATAGCAAAATGTGTTTTTTCAGGTAAAATTTGAATAGTGGTTTTGTAGAGACTTCTGTGAACATCTCACAAATAGTGAAAAGCAATTATACTGAAAAGAAAACCCCAGTTTTTAACAATTGGTTTAGAAATAAGCAAAGATTTAAGTGCTCCACTTAGCAAGGGTGAGACATCCCAGCACATGAAGATGTTTTTGTGAAGTTTCAAAGCCATATTTATGTTAGAGGACAGTTGGGCTTTATCTAAATGGTGTGTCCTAGTTAGGACAGCTGAGACCAGTTCATCACTGGATGGGTGTAATCCAAAACTGTGTATTCTATAGCCTTCCATGCCATTTCCCAGAAACTGTTTTCAATAGACTCTTTACACCCTCTGCCCAGAGCAGCCTGATTCCTCAGGCTACAAAGTAGGTGTTAAGAGGCCTGCGAGATAGAAGGGTGCCTCCCTGTTCCTCACACCCTTTGTGAAACTCCTCACCCTGAGGAAAGTACTGAACATTGCTGCCTGAACTGGAGAATATATGATCTTGGAGTCTTGGAACTTTTTTACCACTCGTGGGATCCAGAGGAAGACTGCAGACCACCGCTCTCAAACAGACTGCAGGCCACTGCTCTTGACCAGACTGCAGACCACCACTCTCGACTGGACTGCAACCACCACTTTTCAACCAGACTGCAACCACCACTCTTGACCAGACTGCACCAGCACTCTCACCACAGGTTTTCCCCTCTCCTTTTCCTTTAGACTCAGGGGGCCCAAAGAACACCACTCTGTTCATGCCCCAGGGTGCTGGGTTATATATTTGGGTTTTGTGGGTTAAAACCAATTGTTTGTCTGTATAATCGTACTTATTGTATTATTTTATTAAATTGTTATTCTGATTTATAATCTCTCTTTTGAGTTGAGTTCATTTCCCCTGCTGGTTTAAAGGTAAACCAGCAGGGGAA